GCATGTCGTTGGCATAGTAAGCTTAACCCTTTCCGGACCGCGCACTTTTTGCGCTCACGGCCGCATGCTGCGCGGCAAGCATAAATATCATATATTTAATCTGTATTCCCACTAAAGCCATTATTTTGTCTCGTTTATGTCTTTGTCATGTCTCGAAGAATATATAAGATTAATTTGACAGAAAACTGTTTTGTAAAAAAAGTGAAAGGGCCATAAAAAGGGAGGAAGGGACGAAAATTGTTCAAAATAAGTTGGTATGGAGAAAAAGGGAGTAGAACGTGCCCAAAACGATTGGATCCATAAGAATCAGATACGACGAGCACGGATATTTCACAAATTCTTCGGTATTTAAGTGTTTTCAAGCGAAAAACAACTGTTTTTTAATGTTCAATTTTAGTCTAGTTATTAAAATAACTAAAAAGTAGTTTTACTTTTTAGTTATTTTAATAACTAGATTAAATTGAAGTGTAGGTTTTTCATACATTCATGGCATGAGTCTGTTACATAGGTATGTAACAACATAAAATATTTTATCGAAAAACCGAATCCTTGGAAAAATCAGCTCTTGAAGGTCCTGATAACCCATGGGTGTCAGGCATCCGGAAAGGGTTAAACATTAGTCTAAGAGAGATCAGTTTAAGGCTTGCATTTTTGCACTGTGCGGTCAGATAAATTCAGCAGACATCTTCGAGGGATGAATAGCACTGAACCGCAAATGTTGTACAGGCAGGGTGAAAAAATCGTGTCGAGTACGTGGTCGCAGAGGTACGACCCCCCCCCCCGAAATCGAGATCCTGGCACGACCCCCTCTAACAGAGCAAATTAATTCAATTAAAATAAATCCTGCAAAACAAATCAAAAAAAATTCTGCAAAATAATGCTAAGGACGCTTCATCTTGTCATCTATGCACGTCTTCCATCGCTGCATACTTTTGTGTACATACTGAAATATCGACTCGAGGAAAGAGGCATTAACTTTGTGTGACCTCAAGGCGAGGTTCGTTCAGAAACGCACAGAAATCCTGAAGACACGGGGTTGCGATTCAATCTTGATTCTTGCTTGAGTATATCAAAACAGCCGAGTGTATCAAAGGCCGATTCAACGGCAGCTGCGGCGCGATTGTCACTGGGTCAGATTTGCCGAAATTTCAAAAAAAAACGTCCGAATCTACACCCTCGATGAAAAGGTTGCATTCCTCCATTTCACAACCTTTGAAGCAGCTTGAGGTAGAGTTAGATAGAGCTGGATTTCGCGTTTCCAACAAGCATCGAAATTGCTCTGGAAGCCTTCCTTGCAGAAAGATAGGGTCTGTCAAATTTCGTCGAGTAAATGTCGAGGAGGCCCAAATTTTCACGCGAGTTTTTGCCACTTCAAGAGCAATATATCTCTTATATTGTAAGATCCTGAAAAAGGGAAGATAGTTTTGGAAAGCGGAAGGTTTGCGCTTCCTGATGGTCTGTTTAGTTTTCTTCTACAGCTTTTTGGTTGAAGAGATAATTGCGTCGAGGATCTATCGAGGTCGGATCCGGCCACCTGGAAATCCGCTCCCTCATTCACCATTGCAAGTGTGACTCGTTGGCAACACTCGGAATGTGTCTAGAACAATATCTTTGAACGCAAACAATAAGAATAGGAGCAATCGTCATCATCCGATTTGGTATTGGTATAAGCCATGCATCCCTCCTCCACTCACAGTTGCAGAATCGATTGAAAGGTGTTATATGATGGGGACCTTCGAACGAAACTGTATTGTAGTAGACATAGTGTGTTGTGCTATTCCTGTAACCTAAAAAACAACTTCATTTGCCCAGCGCTTTTTCTTCACGGTTGTCGTTTTTCCGACAGGGTCCCTAACAACAGCGTCATTCTCAGCGAGGTATTAAGGGAGAAGGAGCGAGTGATAGGCGGAGGAGGTGCCTTTGCAGCGCGTGCGCACATGTGGCAGTCTTCTTTGCGGGGATGCACTTTCATTCTTTGTACTGCCTTCAAATACGCCCTTCTCATGAAGGTGGAGGAATGGAGCGACTGAACCTGCAAAGAAAATTTAATATCATGTTTTTTTCGGATGTTTTCATTTTCTGCTGCGCTATACCCTATTACCTATCTGCACCATGATACCACTTCTGTTACTGACCCCCAAGAGTACGACCCCCCATGGACCAGCCCAACAGGTACGACCCCCCTGTCGAGGATTTCCTCGACCGATATTCACCCTGGTACAGGGGTGGCCAAAAAAAGAGACACTTTGCCCATGGCGCACATCATCGAACTTTTCGTCGCACAGGGTGCCGATGTTAATGAAAGTTTTACGGCAAATATTCCTTAGGTGTTCCCCATAAACAGAAGCAGGCCCTCCTTCACTGCCCCCACCGTCTTCAGAATATGACGTCATCTGCCGTCACCGTCGAGCTCAACGAGGCTTACCGTAATCGCTCCGGCCTGAAGCTGCTACATAATTTCTTCAATGGATTAACTGTTGAATAGCTTCCCAGAGACATTAGCTGTGACTATGCAAGACCGCTTTTGACCAGCGTTTCAGGGACGTCGTAATGGTCTATGGTACCTCGACGACCTCGTTGAGCTCGTACCGTGAACCATGTTTCCGTGGGAAAATCTTCTGATGTCGTCGGTGTAGAAGGCTGTCATGTAACTTTTAGATAGATTAGAATGTGCTCTTCAATACTGAGTTGGGGCAGTCGATTTGATTTTAGCAAAGTGTGATTAATGCTGTCTGAAATGTGGAGTCAAGTGTCTCTTTTTTTTGGCCACCCCTGTAAATCAGATTCAACTTACTCCGAATGGGGTTCAGCGGTTTCACTTTAATTTTCGACGGTTCGACCGACTTAGTGGTGAGTGGGTGATAAATCAAATACTGAGAACTTTTCTTTTTAGAGCACAACGGGGATTGATAATGTGCCAAGACCACAGAACGTTATCTCAATCTTTTGAGGCGTTTCATCTCGCCAATAACCTATCCACTTACCTTGACAGTGCGACCCTTACCCATTGGGAGGCGCGAACGCTACGAAAAACGAAGTGCCCTAAAACGAAATTGTTATTTCAACAATTTTCAATTCATCTGCAGAACAACCGTTGACACGAACACAAAAATGATATAGTAACACTGCAATCCGATGGATCGACTTGTTTTTTTTTCTGCTGGTTGTGCGCTGCCATTACCCTTCCCACTTCCCTAAATCACGGTGGCAGTGGCTTGCAACCTAGCCTATGGGATGGTTTGATATTTCCGCCGATGTAAATATCAGAGTCTCTGTCCATCTTCGCTCCCCTCCCCCCACACCGTCGCCCCTGGATCCTATTTCTGATCATTAGAGAGAAAGAATTGGGAGTTTGGCATGGATCCGTTTTGTAATCCGTCACCTTGCGCTTTCTTAGCGGTCCCACTGACCACTACATCATCTCCTCCCGGCATAGTTCATGTGAATTCACCAGGATTCATCACCTCTACAGCTTTACCAGAGAAGCGTGTTTTGTCGTGAATTTTGAACTCCACCTTTCCAAGCGCTGGTGACCCGTTTTCAATCTCCACGTGACTTCGTTGGCGTGCTGATATAAAATCGGAACCTTGAGGGGTAGGAGATCTTCTAAACACTCTACCAGGGCCCGTGTGCCGAATACCCGGCCGAGAAGAGTCCCAAACCTTGCTCCATTACTTAGGTCGGGACATTACGATTGCTGATACGGGGATGAATTTAGAGACGCAGACTTGTGGACCCATCACCAGCCGAGTCCCTGCGTAAGGCTCCTCCACTGTCACCATGTAGGCCAGATTGTGGAGCGAAAAGAAGACAGTTGGGGTCCAAAACTGCTCGCTAAGACATCCCAACTTGCCATCTCCTAGAGGGTTCACCGGTGAAAATCCACTTTGGGGAGAGGGGGAGGGAGGCAATCCTGGCTATCTCATCCTTGGTCTTAGAGAGCACTTCTTTGAGCTATTCAACACGAGGAATAAAACAATATGTAAACTACATACTCACTCATAGCCTTCTAATTCTAATAAGGACCGAATGAGGTCCTACATCTACAGGGAGGGGGTAGTGAAAAAAAAAACATTTTGTCTCCAGACTCAAATGGATTTAATCACACTTTGCTCAGCTCAAAGCGTGTGCTCCCAACTTAGAATTGAAGAGCGCATTTCATTTCATAAGAAAATCTTCATAGTGGCCATCTACGTGGACGGCATCAGAAAAGTTTGCCCCGGAAACATGGTGCTCTGGTCGAGCTCAATGGGGTTCTCGACTGATCGTGTACGACGGGTTCCGAAGGGCGGGTTCCGAGGGGTTTGCATAGTTAGAGCTAATGTCCCTAGGAAACTATCCCACGAATCGATCCAAGAAATTATGTAAGAGCTTCAGGCTGAAGCAGTTACTGTAGGCCTCCCTGAGCTCGACGACGGTGAGGGTAGTGAAGGAGGGCCTGCGTGTACTTATAGACATTTAGGGAATATTTTGCTGAGGAACTTCCGTCAACGACAGCAATCTCTGCGAAGAAAAAAGGCCGAAGTGCGACATGGGCAAAATGTCTTTTTTTTGCCCCCCCCCCCTGTACACACTCCCACTATCCAATTGTTTTGCGAGTGCCCCTCCTCCCAATTTTATTTTCGCCCGGTTCTATGAATGAACTTGGCAGTCCTGCCCACTTCGTTCCGTTAGTGACGCTCCACTGCCTTTCCGACTACACTCTTAGCGTAGAAACTGCAGCAGATCCTTGCAGTTTGCGGTCTTCGCTGCAAAAATTCCCCGTTCCGCTTGAAACTCGTCGAGCACATCGGCGTGGATTGACGTGGAAAGGCAAACAACGGCAAAAAGACCGAATCTTCTGAAGCTGGAACCTGTTCCGAATTATCATCGACAGCCATGAGCGACCAGTTTCAATCGTCTACATTTTGAAAAAATCGAACAGATTAATGAGGATACAACACTGCTAACGAGTTTTCTCGCTATATAAGGCTCTGCAAATCAATGTGCACCGGTCAAGAATGCGGATACTTGTGCTGTTCATTGCCATCGTCGCCGTAGCCACTGGGTGAGTACGAGTGTTTGACTGCTCTCTTTTTTGACAAGCAGCTCCAGATCTAGAGCAACCTAACTTCAAGTTATCAAACCGTGACATTATACTACCCCAAGTTTTCGCCCATTAGTTTCAACACTGATGCGACTCTCACCAGCGCTGACGTAAGCCCCTCACTGCCAGCACGGCTAGAGCCAGATGGCGAGAGGTCAGCCAATTGATGGGCGTGCAGCGACGCGAGCGGCGCAAGTATGGCCCTGCTAGGCTACTGGTGGCATACCCACTGCAAAACACATCGTCCTCCACTCTTAGGGGCCCGCCTGCTTCACTAGGTATATTCACCATTCCTTGACTTCCTGCTTATCGTGGAAACCTCCAAATAAAATTCGCTGATAGAGTCCGATTGTACTAGGCTCGTAACTGCAGAGGCCCGACAGTTTTTGCTCTTAAAACAAGCCACGAAGGCACCAGGGGCTTACGATGGGTCCTGGTGCCTCTCCCTGATCCGGGCAAACCCACTTATGATACCTCATCTATGTCGCGTCGCTGATCCTCCATGCTCTTCTGCCTCAAAGTCCTTTCCCTCTTTTCGGCTCCCATTACCTCTTATCTTTCTGCTTACCTTATAGTATCCTTTGTAGCGTAGTGCAAGGAGCCATATCAAATGGTGGGTCACTCCACACCTAGAGCATTTACCACACCAATGTGACTATGAGGGGTGAATTTAAAAGTCGACACAAAAGTTGCTTCGAAAAATCCCTCAGCTACCTTCGCAGCTGTCTGACGCTACTGACGATAGCACCATCCACCTTGCAGGAAGTATCCTACAGAAAGATCGTAAAAAAATTACAGGCTCCCATCCATCCATTACTCTTACCCACCAATGTCCAATCAACGCCTTATCAGAAAACAATTGCAGAGCTCTTCGTCAGAAGCGACAGTTCATTCCACTCACCGGCAGAGCTCTGTTCCCAAGAAGCCAGTGGGCTCGCTACAACAAATATCATAACATATATGATAACTATTTCTACGGTAAATAATTCCAACAATCGGCCGTCACCCAGTGGTGATATCTCTATAAAAAATGCTGTTTGTTATCTATAATGGCATGGTTACAGAAGTCACTGTAGATACGATTATTTTTATTATTTCTAATAAATCCCTTAAGCACTGTGCAACTTGAACAAGATCGGCGAAGGTGGGTGCCCGACAGGTCTATCGCGCGGCGAGAAGGCAGAGACGCAGACGGGTCAGCGGACGAGTCGCAGCGCGTACTGCAGTGATTTAGCGTCAAGTAAATAGAATGTTCTAGTACGTCCCACATCCCACAACACGCGCTACAACTCGTCCCCTTACCAGTCTACGTCTCTGTTTTCTTGTCGTGCGACGAACCTCCTTGGGTACCCGGCAAAGGTGGAATATCGCAGCATATTACACAAGAATTGTGTATATATAATTACTACGAAAGGCTGGCTTGTTAGGCAGGTCCTTTTGCGATATTTTGAGGGAAACCAAAAAACTGAAATCAATTCAAAAATTACAAACAAATAAATCTCAATGAGTTCGATGTTAAACAAATCCTAAGAGATCGATTATCCATTACTAAACTAACTGCGTTTTCATGCCAGTTTGGCCTACAAGGACCTGCGGGACCGTAGGATACCTATTCTGATTGTCTTGTGACGATACCGATTCTAGTAGCAATGAAGTACTCTGTTAGTACGAGATGCTTGAAGGGCTCTAGTTCAAGTGAATTCAAAATTAACTTTACGGGTCATGCTTGCACTGTGGCGCTACTTGCCATAATCTCTCCACTTCACCTTCGCCTCGACAACCACAAATATTCAATAGAAATGTAGTCACCAATGAAGCAAAACCATTAATGGCAGCCCGAAAAAGGTAGTGGAAGGTGTGAAAAGTTATCAAGTGTAGTAAGAGAGTAAGAGTAGCTGCAGAGGTAACGTGGAAAAACCAAATTACACAAGAATGGCTAAGCATTGTATCCAACGAACGTTACCTGATCTACAATTGGGCAGAGCGGTAACTCAAAAAATAAAATTCATTCCTGTCAAAAATTAAACTGAGTAATGAGTAGAAAAACCAGAAAAGGTTCAAGTCTTCGCTAATGGCTCTTACGAAAGTTAGCAGCAAAGCAGCCCTATCGGAAGACGTGCAGGTGAAGCACGAAAGACTTCTGTGTCCTGCTGATGGCTATGATAGTTGAACAAGCTCAAACCTTCATTGTATCCCAAAGACACATTCTGCTTCCGGCAAAAGTAAGGTAAAAAAGAAGTGGTGGAAGCCACTCCATTAGGATTTGTGCCTTTAGCGCTCAGGATGGCTCTAATGCTATGACAAGAGCCTCGATAACCCTTTCATCTGCAGTAACCCACGATGGAATCGGTGACTTTTTGCATCCTACAGATCCTACCCAGTTTCTCGTTCGTGGTTGGTGGTTAACCCACTCCGAGGTCCCCCTTCTCTCCCCAGACATAGGGAAAATATCAGGCTTTTGGCTAAGGACTGCTTCACGCACCATTCGATAGTGATTCAGCCGTTTCGTCACTTTAAGTTTGTGACTTATGAGCTTCTATATACAGTACTTCGAAAAGAAGCGTCATAGGGAAGAAAGCGACTTCTTGTGAGCGAATGTGACACAATTTAGACACAACACGAAAGCGCGACGTGAGCGAGAGGGTGCATATGCCAATTTTGCTGCGGTTGGTAAGAAGCGTTCGCAGCGATCAAGCGAAAGCAATGGTTCTCTCGTCGCACACTTTCAAGTCGCGACAGTTTCACCACCCTTGTTATTGAGGGTCCGGCTACCTCACTCACCAAAAATTTCTTCAATTTCGTCACGCAACTGATAGCGACCCGTGCCTTTAAGTGAACGGTTCGGGATAAGGCATACCTACCGATTCTGTCGCCGACCATAGGCTGGCGGGAATGTCGATGTCTGAAAGCACGGAAAACCTCTCCATCCGCAATGAAGGCCTCGTCCACAAGCGCAACTTTCCACGGCCGGCCGCATTTCACTTCATGGTGTAGCCCCTATGGGACTTGCTGTTTGGGGAACTGAATCAAGACGCATATCTTCCATAAGTACCGCTTTCGGTGGTTATGAAGCAACGATTCCTATTCACGACCTCTTCAAAAGATTCTAACCTCGTATTTGTAGGATTGCCACCATGTCTTCAAGTCTTTCGCTACACAACATAACAATATATTTCTTTATTAACATATTTTTAGGCGTAAGAATACAGAATAATGGAATATACTCGCGAAACACATTCACTATTGCCTCAGTCAACTCACCGCTTCACACCCATTACATTTTCGTGGAAACTGAAGTTATAAATCATAAATACAGATATACAACTTGAAAAAAATGAAATTGTACTTCTACTTGAAACTTTATCTACTCATATCATTCGTTTAATAATCCACGATTTTCATTCACAATGAACGTGTACTGTCCAACGAGTCGAGTTATCGCTGTGCTCTGAAATATACAAAATATATACAAATATACATATACAAACATACAATACAAATATATACAAACAAAATTTAAGCTAGTTACCGCAAAATTTTATAGGTGAGAGCGCTTGATGACTACATATCTGAGCGACTGTGCTATTGAATACTGCTACCTACTTTGCGGTGAAGTAGAACTACGATCAATGCTCGCAAAAGAAAAATGTTTTGAGGAAAAGTTGAAAATTGAAAAATGACATCTTATTACCAAAGACACGAGTCCTTTCCTTTGTACAATAATTGGACCGCTCTTAGCTTAGACCTGAAGGTTATATAAGAGCTCGGAAAATTTTGAACAATTGAGATGTTTCACAAGTTTGCCGTTAACAATTTGGAAGATTTTCCCAAGTCATGTTCCTATGTCCTATAAAATTACATGGATTTCGAACGTCATACAAAAAATGGGGTAGTAATGAACGGGCCGCGACCGCACGCGCTCGTATCCAACGGTCTCAATTACGGCATTCAAAGAAGTACGAAGGGATACGAAAAAAAGATAAGAAAAGGATTAGGGAGCACAGTCGCCAACCTCGTTCGTGCGGAATTCATAAGTACGGTTCGATGAGGGCGTACCAACCACCATCTCGACGATTGTATCACGATTTCCAGTTGTCGCGGAGACTATCTTTAAAAGTATGACATAAAGCTTGCTTTATGCATTTGTCTGCAAAACTTAATGACGAGACAGATGAAGTAACATGCTTATTGAACTCTGTGAACCTCACAAATTTGCTTTCTTTACCGCACTGTAGTTTTTGTATGCACGATTAAACTCCATTGCTACCCTTGATTTCGGAAAACTTTACTTTTAACTTTCTTTTCTTTTATTTTTTTTTCTTGCTTGTCGCCACCTGTGGTGTGTCTGCGCTCGACGCTCTTTTCTTTTCTAAAAAGGGGTATGCTACTTGTCACAACACCATGAACAAGTAACGTCGTGGCAGCGATTACGATAGACTCCATTCTAAAAGGGTTCAGAGGAGACATGGTGGTGCTCAATGGTACGCCAGTGGCGAAAAAAGCAGAGAAATCCGTCAAGAAAACGCAAAACGGGACCCCCTTTTTGGCCGTTGGTTTTCACTCATGAACAGGTAACAGCTCAGAAAGCGGACGTATGAACGAGTTCACCGCATTGCGTTTGATGGTAGCTCCAGTTGTGCCGCTGCTGGCAACGCAGCTCGTCCAAATCACCAACTAAACTAGTGGGCGGATCGCTTTTGGGGGCGGAGTGCTTTCGAAGTCCTGCTCAGCAACCAGCGCACCTTTCGTCGTGAAAGCGCCACACCTCGCTTCCTTGGCAGCCAACTGCTTCGTGTGGTGCATATGCTTCCCCGATGCGCTTCCCCTTTATCGTAATCGCTTCCTTTAAGTTTTGCAGACCAATATATTTCTTGAATCTGGACGATGTCGCGACTCTGGGCCCTTCCATAGTCAAAAAGCGGAAAGTAGAATCACATAATCAAATGGGAGGAAATACCTTATCATACGGCCAGTGTTCGATTACGTCACGACTTCGTGGCTCGAGCAGCTTCACTCCTGTTTTGCCAACGGCCAGCTCAATCGGAGGCAGTGCTCGTCCATCAAACGATGCGGCGTCCACCCGGAATATTGTACTACCAAACAGTGGCCAAGCAGACAGTATTTCTATAAAAAACTTTCTCAATATGTTTGTAATTATACTAAGTAGGTAGAGTTATTCAGAGGCCGAAAAATGCTCAGCCATGATTAGCAGCTGCTCACTAGTTGTATTCCATATGCGAGACCGAGTCATTCTTTAAAGCTCAGGTATTCCACGAAAATTTGAAATGGGACTACCACTTTCAAAATTAGACCACACGTCTACCTCAAAAGAAGGCTGAAGGACAAGACCACTGAAATAAAATGTCATCGATACACACTGTTGACAGAACTCAAGGAAGCACGACAAGGGCGTTAGGGTCTTCCCAGTCCCGGCGATCGCCTGGAGACGCCCGCAATAGCCGCAGTGCTCTCTCGTACGACTGCTCTCTTGCGTTTCTTGGCTTCTCTGCTCGCTCTGAATCTCCGCGCCACTGCAGACCTTACAAGAATGCAGGCTTTCAATTTTAGCGTTTTCGATGGTTTCTTTTGCTTTCTTGTTCTTTTTCAGCCTAACCCGTACCTGACCTTTGTTAATGAGCGCTCCTACACACCAACTTTATCCTGGGGCTCGTCTTTCATGAAATTACGGGCGGTGGATCTGGAGAATTCATTAAGCTAGCCTTAGTCAAGTTTGTCCGCAACGATGACTGCAAATAGCCGCCGACTCAATTGTCTACGCCCGTTCCGCTAGACACCTCTGCTTCTGTGGATTATCGATATTCCTTATTGTTGATTATTCAATGTTGAAAATCCTAACCTAAGAATGCCGCCCTAGCTTGTGTTGCAGTAGTATTTGGATTCATGGATCGTAATTGACGATTAATCCTAGTCGCCCACGAATCTGCTGATTGGGATGGGTACTCCAGCACTGGCGTCGGAACTATTGACTGGACTGTCCTTCTGAAAACATCCTCAATAGAACATACAGTAATTGCACGTCTCGAATCTAAAAGTGGAAGTAACAGTAACTCACGGCGTCACAGCAGCTAGCTGCCCTTCGTTGGCAGCCATGTGAAGGTAAGCTGCAAGTTTGGTGACATCGTCACACACTGACGCGCTCATGTGTCCACTGGCTTGCCTCGTGAGGAATTGACCTTGCAGGTAGTCAGGAACAACCTGGAACCGTGCCAAAAGGTTTTGAATGTAAGACAAAATTTCGATTCAGCCTCTCGAAAAATGTAGGCAGGGTCAAGAATCGCGACAAACATACTTTCAGAGACAGTTGCCCTTCTGCAACTTCATCTTCCTCCCGACTAGTGTCCTACCAACCTCGTTTCTTTACCAGTTACCTTGGCTTCTCGAAAATCCCGACAACCGGGATATGAACACTGATGGAATCAGACGTTGTGAAACACAATATTCTGCATCGCAGAACACTTCAACGCTGATCACTCCGAATATCTCGATGGGACGAGGCGGACTGCTCGTCGCTGACTCGAATTAACTTTCCCAGGCTTCGATGAACGCTCAAAATTAAAGCCAGAACCAGAACGAAATTTTTGAAACTACAACAATCAAGCCGTCATGGGCAAAACACTTTGCCCCAGCCGGGAATAGAATCGGATCACACGCATTTTGGGAAGATGCGCTACTAAAAACATCGCCCAGCCATGATTAATCTTAACCCAGCTTCCAGTGGTGTATACAGCTAGCTTTAAACTATATCTACACTCAAACGTGCAACGTCATAAGCAGAGTCAACCGATGGCGCTTCGCAGTCTACTCAAATCGCATGCGAGTTTCGGCCCGATTGTAGACATTCACACTCGCATGCTCGCGCCGTCTGCGTCTCCGCCCATACAGCGTGCGTTGAGGATCTCTCGACGTGCCGTTGCGAACTGCTGCGCAACGCAGGGTTGACTCTGGTCATAAGCCGATTAGCCGCACTGACCTACGGAAGCAGAGTCAGGATGAAATACGGTACAGGTGCTGTAAAACCAACTAATGTGCCTAGAAAGCAATAGATCTGTATTTAGAGGCTAGCTGAGGGTTTGACTCACTACTTAGCATCCTTGTAATTATATTCGCGTCTAGAATTGCAGCACTGGCCGTCTACCCGTCTGATTAAATCAGACAAGTGGCAGGTCATATTCTTGATTTCGATGGGGTCGCAACTGATAAAGTCGTCATGACGATCTCGGCGCCCTGGCTTATTTAGAAACCTTTCCATTCTCGGGGAGTGGGAAATATGAGACGGAAATGGTCTCCGCGTTCAAGTGACGCGAGCGCGTGCAGATGACCTCACAGCTACCAGAAGCGCGATGGAAGAAAAAATGGCCAATGCCGCGAAAATGGTTTCTGGAATTATACTTTCTTCTCCGCCGGCCAGGTCCATATCCACTGGAGGCTTAACGACGGCCTTTACAAAATGTTAGCCGGCTCCAGTTATATTTCGCCACTGATTTACAATTACCAGTTATCAATGATTAGTGGTAATCAGATTTATTCAGAGGCCATTCACTTGTGTTGTAGAGTCTGTAGTGCAGACTTCTCCAGTCCCTAGTAAGAAGTAAACCAAAAGCTGTAAATATAACAAAGACGAATTCAAGAGATTACCTGGAAGAACATCACATCAATGTACACAGGGTGATCAAGTCGCAGCGGATGCACCCATGTGCACCGCTTCAACAAAAAGTGGAATTGCATACGTTTATGCTCCAGTTCGGTACAGATATCCAATATGTAATCATCATTCGCGCAATATTCGACTCGATTTTCTGAAATCCTCACACTCGCTACACAAATTTGCGAAAGTCATGAAGTAAAACAACTGATCGATAATCATCAAAATCACGGGTGAACTCATCGTCGAATATGGCATACCTTTCTCGAGCACATAGCAGAGGCAAAATTCCTGTTGCTCAGATGGACTACGAATGTTGAGCTCCAAGCATAACTCCTCAAAAATATAGGGTTAAGAGTTATCGCAGTGATGTTTAGAGTAAAAACATTGGTCTTCATGGCTGGAGGGCGTTGCGATTTTGCTGACGTCATCAAACGTCATTGGCGGACTAGACCTCTTTATGCGCTGGGGGCGTAGTTAAAACCGTCTCTGGGCGCCCTTCCACCAATGACGTTCATTGACGGCATCGAAACCGCAACGCCCTCCGGTCATCGTTATCACTGCTTCTAATGAATAGGATCACACCCTTATAGCTTCTTCGACAACAGTGATACTTTTTGTGTTCACAACTTTCTTATTACCACCTGGAAGAGTGTAGGCTTGGCGCTTCAGAATCTTGCCATTCTGAAAGAAGATTGCTCAAAAAAGGAACGCATAATTTATGAAACTGATGGTATGACGTACTGTGATCTCTTCGACTTCCATACCGCTCAGCAAGTATTTTCGACCACCATAGCGCATCGTCTGGTTCAGGTTTTGTAAGCATAATTGGGCAGTCCCTAGAATAGAATGTAGCCTATAGATGCGGTCCGAAATTCAGACTGTTGAAGAAAAAGAAAACGCGTCGTCGTGATCACCTGATCCCTAATGATAGCTCACCGTGATAAGCTCTTCTGTGGTCGTCAGCGTTCTCAGCTAAATAGTTGATCAGGTACGGTCGTAGAGCTAGAGAACACTCGAAGTAAGCAGTAAGTATCGAAAACAAACGCCAGCCTCGAATCGAGCTGTCAGGTCTAAATTGTTCACTATTAGTGCAATGACACTTTACAGCCTTACACAACTTAATAAACCAAAAATTTTTGCCTGAGCGTTCTCGTAGATGGGACCATAGAAACAAAATAGAAAACAAGGTTGCACTCAATCACACGGCTGTCTCCTAGATTTTATGAAGGGGCGTACAATGGCCCCTTTGGCAGTGCGGATAGTTAAGCGGCAAGTCGCGCGCGGCGAGACTACGCGCCTCTTCGCATTTGCCAAACTGCCGAACAATAGGCCCATGCCAGATCTTGCGAATCGAGCTAGCTGGCGTGCGCGGTCGCGTCACGGCCAGCGAATCGCTCGATTCGCAAATGACATCGGCCATACGAAGAGATCACGTGCGCAAACGTTGGAGCAAAGGTCTGCGGCAGAACCTCTCTGCACTCATTATGATTGGACGTTCTGCCTGTATGCTTCCTTGGAACGCAAGAAAGTTAAACACGAAATACGGCCCCCTTCAAGGAATCTCGCCTTACTTGTGAAAAAAGTGAGCTACTTTGGCTGGAGAGTTTATTCCATTAGCTTATGCGATTCACCAAAAGCGCGTCATCAAAAACAGGGAGTGACTTGTTGAGCGCTTTGGCTGAGCTTCTAACATGAGCCACGGCAAGCGACAATTTCGCACACGTGGAGACTCACATTACTGGAGAACTAACACAGATTCTAAACAATTATGCTAACTTACTTGCTGGATTTGTTGTTAGTAGTCTGGCGAATGATTTGGCAGTATACTTCGTCTCGTAGTGCAGGATTTTTGTGGCAGATTAGTAACAAACGGTATACAGCGTCTGTTATCGTTTCACCACGTCGAATCGGTTCATCTCCCATATAACGCATGATACCTAAAGATCGGTTCATTGTCTCTGCAAGGTTTCTACGAGCTAATTCATCCAATTCTCCAATTGAACAGAATAGTTAAACAAAAAGAATCATTCAAACTCACACATGAAAGTCTCACAGGCCAGTTTGTCCAGCTCGCTGGAGTCAAATCGAATCAACGAATGTGAGATCGGTTTGTCTGTGAACTTGATCTTATGAGCAACGTCCTGCCACGTCCACTCTTTCCCTGAACATTTATTCTGGTTTCAAGGCACATCACATGATGAAGCATTGTAGGCTGGAACTCTCTCATGAGGAAAATAGAGCTATCCACATTGGTGGAAAATGTACTGCTGTGGCGGCTCGTGCGTTACAGGATCGGGGATCTTGTCATAATCATTGCTGACGGTCACCACTCCTACACTCAACACAATGGTCTACGCGGCGTAATGTCTGCGTCGACTCGCCCGCTGTGCTATATGCTTAGTCTGTGAGTCTGTTCTCTACTCTCGGCGCACAGTGTCTCTGAGACGTCCGTCCTCTCCACACGCTATCCGTCCAAGGAAGGGAGCTACCCTTTCACAGTATTCTTAGAGGTGGAGGAGGGAGGAGCTGCCTTTTCCCTTCTTTTTAGCAGTCGCCTTCGCACCTCGAATTCTTCCACTTCTGTAAGAAAAAACCACATCTGTCGGATCTCGGGAGTCTTTCGATCTAAGTGAACACTAAATTCTCTTCTTCAGGAAATCAGTGATGAGGACTCATTCGAAATACTAAATAAAAATAATAACCCGAATACTAGATAAAAATACTAAATAAAATAATAACCCGACGCCACTCCCAACCATTCCTTATTGCTTGGGAGTGGCGTCAGGTTATCGAATTGCTGTTGACTGCCCGGTCTAAGAAGCTGTTAGCACAGCGAAAGCTTACCAATAAAGTATTTTGAATGAGTCCTCATCACTGATTTCCTGAAGAACATCTTACACACATGAGGCTCAGGGATAGCTCAATTCTATCAACACTAAATTCTGTAGATTTTTGGATTATATTGACGTTTCCAAGATCAACACGCACTTTTGTACTTGGTCTGTTTATTGTTTTCTGGACAAGGAAGGAGAATTAAAGGCGCTCCAGGATCAAACGGTTTCTTGCGCACGAAAATGATATTGGTGGTACAGAAAAGCCTACCGCAAAGGGAATGGGAAGAGATTCCGTCGAGAAAGCTGAATTCAAGGGTTTGCTCAGTTTGCGCTAAGAGAATGAGCAGGAGCACAGAGGTGAGAGGTCAGGTGGGAAGAGCACAACGGATGAGAGAGCGCAAGATACCAGCATTCTACAAACGAAAAAAAGGAAGCGGTTGATGCGGTCTTTGTAAAACCTCAGGACTCCTTGAACGCGTATCAGAGCCGGGAGAACGAGGCATATGCGAGCCTCGTGGACAGCTTTCAACCAACTCCCAAAAGTCTTATCAAAGTGAAGTCATCCTGAGCTGCACCTTCAGGGTCTATGAAGATGGAAGACAACATACTGTTCTTCTTGAGCGTATTGTCGAATCCTTTTGGTCCACGGAAGTGATTCACTGCAAATTCTAACATGGTGTATTTGAAGCCGTTTGGATGACCTGCATCATCCATAACGTCATCGTACACCAACGGTAGCGTCGGTGGCGAATCCTCGACTTCGCGCTACAAAAATTCTTTAATAATTTGAATCGTGCGGGTTGTATTAAAATCAACAAACATTGTGCTCGTCGAGTGGGATCACATATTGCGCTGGAAGACTTCCGTAACGGTTGCCAATTTTCCCGTACAGCCACGACCCAGACGGAACCATCTCACCGGTTGGTAGTGGTACCTACACAGAAAACTTTCCACTTTATTTGATCATTTTTGAGTACATTTGCCTGAAATTACCAGTTCAATCGTATCTCCTTTCTTGAACGACAAAAGATTTGGCTGTTTGGTGACATAATCAGCTGTGGCACGAACGAACTTCTTTCGCTGTAACACGATTTATTGAGCAGTCGATACATGTAATCGAAATAAAAAATTGCGAACAAAAAATTATTGATTGGTAATAACGGGATGCCGCAGCGCATGTCTATGCAGCGCGGTTCAGTCGTAGACACGGTCAAGCATGCGTCGCGTAATGCACGAGGAAGGAGATCATGTTTTCCTGTTCAAGAGAGAGGTTGTTGGAGAGTCGAGAGGTGTTTGAAATGGTCCATGAAATAAGTTCTCGGAATTTCAAGCAAATATGAAATTGCTACAGGATTGGAGAATTTTTCGTTTTTTTTTTGCTTTGCAGAACACACTTTATTTCCAGGGGGGGGGTGCCTTCGTAACAGCAGACTTTGCAAAAGACGCGGCATGAGATAGCACCAAGAAGCACACATGATATCGATTTTTCTAAAGCTATTGTCGCGCGCTATAATCTGAATCTGCAGCTACGACCTTTTCAGAAGCGGGAAACCAAATGTGGGCCCCTGTGGAATACGAAGAGAAATGGAAGGAAGGTGAGTGGTCTTTTAGCTATGTTCGATACCTGAACTTGTCCGTGAATGCACTTATCAATTTGCGATTTGATCTGCGGTGCCATTTTAGTTCGCAATCGAATACTGATCCCATTTCGGGTATGCAAACAGATGACTTCATCGTTTTCCAGTGTGATGTCCGATAAATCGGAAAAACTAAACAAAACTGTGAATTTGCAGATAATCGCTATCAGTAATCAATAAATTCCAACTTCAAATGATCCTGCGCTTTCAGAGGATTCTCTTTGTCTAACGGTGTATGGAGCAACAATCGTATGCCATGTTCACCAATCGAAAGCAGTACTGACACTGATTCATTGGCGCGTTCCTCTATGACCTCAAACCAGACACTTTTTCATGGAATTCGGTACTTATCGAATGTCTGTGTCGCTCACCTCGTAAACCTGTGTGAAGTAAAGCGGCCATTTACGAGCTGCTGTGATAACAGCGACTTTTACATCGACAGGAATCTCAGACTGCTTGCTTAAAAGTTCGGGAGGAATGTTGTTAGCCTCTAGAAAAAGCATACTATTTGAGTCGAGGAGAAATTCGAACCTAATCATGCTTAGCAATGAACAAAACATTAAAACTCACTCAGAATACTAACAACATCATCTCTTTCGTAAGCTCGAATACGGTAGGCAATACCTTTACGGCAGTCGGAGATAATTTGAGCGAATACTTGATTGATTACGTGCATGTCATCCAATTTTTCCTGTGGATGAAACATCTGAAAGAAAAAGAAGAACCATCCGTGCAAGAAATCTGCCATCTTTGATAAACTATTTCAATATCTTCTGAATTGGAGCGTGATGGATTCTGTGAAGTGGCAAGTCGCGTTACTTACCACTCGCACAACCCAAATATAAATCTCGGACCGGGTCAACTATCCTTCTTGAACCTGTGGATTACAACCAGACTTGTATGAGAGGCCTAAAGCACTGTCTTGTCCAACGGATGGCTCCCGCGAGTCATTTTATAGGCCAAATCGCATGCAATTTTTCGATTCCTATTGCAAGCAGTATGCCTGGCGCATCCCAGAAAAGTATCGATCGGTGTCGAGGCTCATCCTTTACTCTCTTTCGGATTTATAGAAGGTTCACTCTTGGAGTGCATAGGAAGGAAATAACACAGGTTGGAAATCTTTAGACCTTGGAATTGACAGTTATTGCTGGACTGATTTTGAATGAACTTGTTATACGACAAATGGTTACTTGAGTTTTTCAGAGAAATGGCCGCTGTCCATTTATGTAGAATACAGTAGGTCCTTACAATGCCACAAGGAACAATTGGTGTGAGGTTCCAGAAACAGGAGTTCGTGTGATTGTGATAATTTATTTATTGCATCAAAAACCACCATCCTTCCCAATTTAGTACCTAGAAAACACGCCTTACAGTATACTTGGAACATTTGTTAAGCCCTAGAAGAAATGCCGCCCATTTTCAGCAAAATCGACAAAAATTCACTAACTATACGGCCTACTGCTCTAGTTGGTAAGCAACCTGCTTTTGAAGTGCGTGTAAAAGAAAATCTCAAAATAACGTACTCCTACCTCTTTTCTTATTGTGAGTTTCCATGGCTGTTTTTGATAGCGCACAGCCGGTTTTTGATTATTATTCCCTGTCTCAGCTTCGTATTGAGGACTCACCGGTACTGGAAGGATATTGCTATTAACTTGCTAGAATTTCAACTTCATGTGTTGATCTTTACTGTTCATTGGAATGTCGAAAATATGATATGATTTAAGCTTACGTGAATTTGTGGGACTGCGAGAACGATCTATGTGATCAAGTTCACCCTCATGGATCCACTCGCTCCGAGGATATTCGCTCTGAAATTCAGAGATGAAAGAATATTGAATAGAAATGAGATTTCGATAGGAGCTCAATTGAGTAAATTCTTCATCAGTTTTCTTTAACAAGCAAAGACCATACCACTGGGTACAGCGATTCGCCGGTAACTAGCGTAGCACACTAAGCGCACAGTTTGTTGGTATATTTTCACATTCACACTGCTCAGTTCAGCCAAGCTTTCCATGTATGCAAAGATCTCCGAAGTGGTACAAGTCTACGACTTGAAAAAAAAGTGTGACGTTTAGCAGCTGGTCCAGCAGGTCGTTGTAGAGACAAAACAAGCATTCAAATGCTACTAGGATTCCAAATGAGTGTAAAATGTGTTGCAAATTCTAAAAAGGATTTATATATGCCGATTTCCTTTCATTTCTTTTTTTCTTCCTTTTTCCCGTTTCACTACTCATTGGCTAAGACTGTGCTGTCACATTGCATAATTACAGAAGTGCCATGGAAGACATTACCCTTTTACGCTGAGCGAGATTTAGAGTGGACCAGAGTCAACCCTGCGTTGCGCAGTTCTCAACGGCCACGTTGCGCAGTTTCGCCCGATTAGACACGTTCTCTCGCGCGAACATTCACACTCGCATGCTCGAGCCGTCTGCGTCTCCGCCCATACAGCGTGCGTTGAGGATCTCTCAACGTGCCGTTGCGAACTGCGCAACGCAGGGTTGACTCTGGTGTGGACTTAAAGTCACCAGAAACGTACATATTTCAGGACGTGAAGAGCTCTCCAAGAACGATTCCTTGCACATCATAGGGATACGTGCAAGGGACATAAAAATGAGGTTCACTTTCATCGAGCAGCTTTTCAATGCCGGTGGAAGAGAAGAAAATTTTTAGAAAGGCAATTTCTGCAATTTTATCGTACACTTGAATACTCGCACAGCTTAATACCAGATTTTCGCTAGAAAATGGGTTCAGACATACGAGTCAAAAGACGAAGGTGGGAGAAACGCAAAAATTACCCATCGGAAGGATTTGAGATACAAGGCCGTGTCCCTACTAGTTTCTTGACATTCTCTAAGTGTGTTACATGCAGGTGCTCGCTCCGATGAACTTCAGAAAAGGCCTGAGAAAACGTTCAAAGCCCTGAACGATTTTCTTGGTCAGGTCATCGCTTGCAACGGTTCCATAAAAAGTCGCTTCTTCCAAGCACACTTGCAAAATCCGATCACTGATTTGAAATGAATTGCAGTGCATAGGTCTCTCTAGTTAGGAATGAAATTGCCTATTTGGCTTACAAAGCAAAAAGGGCGGCAGAAAAATAAATCAAGTTTTTGTTTCACCGCAAAAAAATGTTGCGCAACATCTTTGAAAATGATAAACACCAAGTGACGTCCCTTACGCCAGCGGAAAAATGAGGATCACAGCAGCGAGAATGTCGTAAAATTTCTAGAATGGTTGAAATTTTTAGGGAATAAAAAAAGACGTAGCTCTCCCAAAAATTCGGCATATTGAGGGATTATCATGGTGAAAGGCGCTCTCTCTCTCATTGGAAGCATTCTAAATGAATGCCGTAGATTTAACACAGGTAATAAGTGCTTAGAAATTGAATTATGAAGTTTTGGTTTCATAGGCTGGCTCCTGCAAAGTTTGCAGGGTATGGAAGAAGTAAGCTCGCAAAAATAGCTACAAATACGGTTTCTCATAAGGGTAAAGAGGCTGAAGCTCGGCTAACAAGGCTCTCGTGTGAAAAAGCAGAACATGAAGATCTGGATATGCAAATGCAGCGAAAACATCTAATCAATCTGATCAAAACAAAATCGAAAACAAGCGGTATCGATAACCGAAAAGGCATCTATCCATGCCTGTTTCGATTACCGATACCGTTGATCCTACGTTCAACGCTTAGTTGAAGAAAGCATCTGCGGTTGCAGTGGCGCAATATTAGTGCAATCAGAAAAAATCCATCGTCTCTACTCGAAAAATAGTACATCGTAGTGGGAGACTGTTGATAAAGAAGAATTCGCACCAAAAGCTTTTTAGTGAACATCTTAACGTATGGGCTATACTTCTCTCGAAAAGTACGACCAGGACAGATTTGGTCTGAGATTCCTGCCACTTTGATCCCCTTAGAAACAGTGAACACGATGGCTGGTAGGTGGAGCGGTTTTGATGCGTCACTCGGCGCCAGGGTGAATATCGGTCGAGGATTCCTCAACGGCACGTCGAGGATTTTTGCCTGATCAGTTACGTTCTCCCGCGCGGACATTCACACTCGCCATGCGCGAGCCGTCTGTGCTCTCCGCGCGTACATTCACTCTCGGCACTACTCTCGCACAGTACAGAGCCATGGTCGAGGAATTCCTCGACCGTTATTCACCCTGCTCGGCATCATTGATGAAGAACGTTGGGAGTTGCTCCCACTCCCTAGACCACTAAACGGTCTGCTCCACCAATGACGCCCAACGACATCATCAGAACCGCTTCCCCCGTCCCTCTTCCCAACCATATTCAAACCATCATTTAACTTGAAGTTTGCTATGACTGAAGAATCAGTGCGCACAGGGCATCTATCTCCTTCACGTGCTCATTGTGCTATCTTATGCCACGCCTGTTGCTAAGTCTGCATTCACAACACATCATTTCACAGGAAATAAAGTGTGCATAGATCCCTTGCGTATTAGTACCGTACTTTAGTGAAAAATCTTGACGCGCACACTACGGACAATGGCATACAATCATATAAGTTGTGACCGCTCCATAGAAAATGGGAATGGGTATTCCATCACAAGTATATTGAAGAAATCGTTCGTAGTTATACCAAAGTGCCCATGTTTGCAACTTTCCAGCGATCTCGGGCAGCTGAACGCTTCGGTGCCGACGCCTTTGGCACAAACGACAGGCATTTTCCTGCAGAGGGTATGCGATATTCGTGATGGGGTATTGAAGCACCCTTAACGATAAATTACTAATTGGAGTGAGATTTCGAATGAAGCTTTCGAAAGTAGGACCATACCACACTCCTATAAGCCTGGCTCTTGGCAACCCCAAACAGTTCCCACCATATTACGTTTCGATTTCTCAACATTCCAAGAAATATTTCAAAGTTGTCAGCTGTATTCAGAGCGCGATTGGTGAAATGCATTTCGCAGTAGACACCAAAATTTCGTCCGAGATCGTACAAAATTGGTTTTTCTAGATAGATGGCTGTATTGTTCAGCAATGCTATCACATATCATAACAATTTGCCGGAACTTTTGTTCCGATAAGCAGTGAGGCGATAAAACAAGGCACACAGTTAGAGTTGCAACAGGATTAGAACACTGCGTGGAACGTGTCAGTAACTTGTTAAATATAAGTAATTAAGTATACCTCAACTCCGGTGTGACTATGCGGACGAGCATAGACATAAGACGGTGGCGCTGTCGTGGCAAATACTGGCTCTGGACTTTTTGCAGGTTTCTTCGGTAAATAAATTCGAACCTGATCGACTGGTGGAGGTAGATTCTGTTATTGAGAAGATTTGTTAGTATTCATACCAATCACCAAGCTAGAACAAACAATTACATTAAAAAAGCTTCACAAAAACTCACAAAATCGCTGATAAAGAACAAAGTGGTTAAGTTTCATAAGAAGCAGTGAGAATTAGAACACAACAAAACAGTGCTAAATCGGATAGGACTTATATACAGTAGTGGTCAAAAGTGTTCGCCGAAACGGTTTTCCGTGCTTCTCTTTTTTTTGCCAGAAAAAAAATCAATGGTGGCCTCGAAATTTTTCTTTGAATATCCTGATTCTTCAAGACTTGAGGATATAAAACACTAGAAACATAGTATATCAATCTTTGGAGGGTGTTGCTCAACGAGAAAAAATAATGCACTAAAAATCATTTCGGCGAACACTTTTGACCGCTACTGTATGTCCCTAGCGTAGTCCCGCGCAGTCGCACGGTCCGCTGCATACATATTTGTTGTGATGGGGGTCTTCATCAGCCGGCCTGTCAACCTGGGCCTGACGCTGGTACTAGAACCATTTTTGCAATTTTTGCAAGGCATGGTTTAGAGCCTCGGCAGGGATCGAACTCGCGGTTTTCAGAGGTGCAGACATGAGTCTAACCTCTTAACCACTCGGCTATCCCTGCCTCTGGATAGGGAATTGGTTCTTAAAAACTAATGATTTTATGCGATAATTCTGCTGGGCAATGTTACCGTAAGGCAGCTGAAGCTGTAAGGAGCGTGAATCACGGTCGAAAACGTCTCAATCGCCACGATGGAGGAGAGGACAGCATTTAGAAATTTGTAGGTTTGCAGCAGGAGCCATCTGGGAAAGGAAATAGCTGGGTGATGTGTAAAAATACCTTGTTCCAGCAGTGACATACGGGGGTGGCAGACCGGAGGGAAGCCCCAGATGGGGTAAGAGTGATGATGATGAAAGTATGAGTGCAAAGTAGACCAGGTCTAGAAAAAAGAGCAACCGTCGAAAACACAGGTTTTTGTTCCGGGAGGTGGAGGAGAGTAAAGGCGACAGCAGGGAACAGCGAGATGAGACATAATGGGCGATAAGGAGAGGAAGAAGTTCGACATAAAGAGAGCATGCAGACAGCGGATCGACGATGATTCGATAACACCACAGTGGGCGGGACGGACCAGCAGAAGGGCGGATCGACCAGCGTTTGGTGACTAATAATGTTTTAAGACAGTGTTAGCTACGACGGCGCCTCGTATCGCGTTGTCAGCGAGCTGTATATAGCCTATTCGCAACATTTTGCTCGACCCATCCTAGACTGTACTTGTGAGTACGTCTCGTAGTACCAGCATTAACGTAACCTTTGGCACTATCGACCATGGGAAGTAGGGTAGGGGCCCTATTCATCGCAGGGAGAGAAGGTGAGGGTCGTAAGAGCCCAAACGCCCTCTACATTTGATCCATACTGCCTGTAAGCGGTAACGATACAAATATTACAGCAATGTATTTTTCACTAAAAAAATATTTGTAATGCACTAGCAAAAAAAAAGAAAGTATTTAACTAGCCGGTCAATTTATTTATTTACTCAATGAATCATCTATACGTGTTTATTGGTGCAGTCATAATCGGTTCTCCGTGGCTTCCCGGAAGGCACTCATTGCCTCAATTGGCCGTTTTGCTACTACACGCACCATCAATTCACGATTTACACTGATGATTGGTTTCACACGATAGAATAAAGCTAGGCCTTGCATACAGTGATATCGCACAGTTTAAGAATTCTACAGCCACTGCCATAACTACTTGTTATTTTGATTTTTCAACATATTTTTAATTTGAATTCCCAATTTCCAAGAGCCAAACTAGCAGTACTGACTCATTCTGATTTTCGAGCAAAATCTATGCTCAAGTTGCAGTACACGTCTAAGAACACAAGCACGCACACCATGTGCGGGGTAATGGAACGTTGGCGCGCGACTGCGTCGCGGCTAGGTTAACAAAAAAGCATGGACAAAACAATATCACGTTGTTTTTTGAACCCGGTACCCTATCAATTTTGCTTCCATAAAAAATATATAATTTATTGCTATATCTCATGGTTTCGACACCCATAACTCTGCGTAAGTAATTGTTCATCCATTGGTTAGGAATTGGACGCAAGCTTATTCAAATAACAAGAAACACTGCCACTGACCTTGAGACGTTCATTAATTTTCCGCAACGCTTCTTGCTCCTTCTGTTGAATTTCTTTTACGAGGTTTTTTTCCGGAATACGAAATTTACGTGGATTTGGATGTTCAGAATTGATTATCGTGTTCTTTACTACAGGTTCACGATAAGCATCTTGCGGAAGCCGACTCAAACCCTGAAATTATACACTAATTGAATAGAATTTATATTTATCGATTGAGCTACTCTCTGAGAAAATTGCAATGGAGAATTATAGAAAGAAGTTGAGGCTAGTTCAGATTTTCAGAAGTACATTTTGCCTTCTTTCCGGTACAGGTGATTTCATCGGTGATGGCGATCGCGGTGCCGGACGTGGAATCGCCCCGGATTGTTCTGGCCTTAAAAATGATTATGAGAATGGAACTACTACTACTACCACTACGTAGTAACGCCGATAGAAATAAATTGGCTTACTTCGACGCCGACATTGACCCTGCTACTCCGTAACCAGGATTTCGTGGATAATACTGTGGTGATAGATTCTAAACAAGCACTAGTAAGTATTCACGGCATTTTGGCATACTTTACAACACAACACTGCTCTTTCGAAAGTTGAGATTTAGTAGGTCCAGAATCAAGAAAAAACATGGGTAGAAAATGAATAGATGCAAAAAAATAGTAATGGTTAACACAAAAATAATGGACTAATTACTCCCTCATGTTTGCCGAACACAACGATACACAGCTAAATTAAAACGGGAAAATTTGCCAAGGAATAAAAAATTCCATCGTTTTCACGAATTTGATCAATAAGCAAACATCATTTCAACACGGAGTGGGGGTTGGACACTGAGCAGCCGAAATGTCGGGCTTGATAACGCGACAAAGTCGCTTTGAGAGCGTTGCGGTTCGTCGTAACAACTTCTTATCTACACAGTACGTCGTAAATGTTAAGTCACTGAATTCCTGGCAATATGCCCACTTTTTATTCGCCTTAGGGCACTGCAAGGAGGATGTGCTCAAGATTTACTCGAGAGCTAAGAATTTTCTCGAAGAGTGCTTAGACTCTCAGCTCAATCGACGAGTCCTTAATGAAAATGGAGCGCACTGGTGCCATATTGCTACCTTGGACACCAGTTGTCAGCGCTGCTTTGCTGGGACTTTTAGGTTCTACGAATAAATAGCGTAAATGCGTGTCCTTATTGTGCAGCGATATTGAAACAAGCATGAGACTCCAAAATTTTACGATTTACTTTCACAACGAAACAAACACTAATTTTTGCTCACTTGAAAATCATTACATGTAAGCAAAGCAGTACTGCTGTACGGGGTGAGCCAACCGACGAAGAAGTTCGCCTAATACTCCTAATATAATAATAATAATTCGCCTAATTAAATAAATAAATAATGCGATTTCTAGACAAGGTTAATGCCCATGGAGCGGAAGGCGGGGGGAGGGTAAGGGTAAGGGGAAGGGATGAGTAGAGAAAGGGATTAGATGCTGCAATAAAAACATAAAAAAAACCCAGATATTCGCAAAATTCATAGCACTTCCAAAGTTTTGCAAAGTGTGCCAAATTCCGTTCACAAAAAAATTCGAAACCCTTTATAATTCTTTCCAAAAATCCTAATACCCAACACAAATCTTGCTCTCCCTTCAGTCCCCTTCCCTCTGAAAATATTGCCAACACTTCCATATACGGACAGTCTCCAAAACGTGCTCAGCACTATCTTCTGTTGGAGAATATTCGACGTTGGCTGCCCTACTGGAATAAGGTACCAGGTAAGAAATGATTAGAAAGAAAGGCCAGAAGAGAGCGAAACAAAATTAAGAGCTGAATTCGAAGCATAATCCTCCATAGTACACACCATTGGACAGACCGGTTCAATAATAGATGGAACACCAAACAGTAATTCATAGTTAGCAACAGACGGTCATATTTATAAGATTCCACTTATTTGCATCGCTGTGTAAATTCGCCCAAGGAACATCTCAGACACAGCAGCAGCTAGGAAGCTCCTGCGTGGAATTCTCTATGGAGTGAGGGTAACATGCGCCTGCACGGAGTGGATGAGTATTGAAAGGCAGCTCCGAGTAGACTCTATAATAATGTTTGAGGGGTTTTGACAATCAAGAGATTCTTAAACAATCCGGAGTTAGAGGAGTCACTAAATTGAGCGTTCTTGAAGCGGTGGTGCGAACAACAAATGAACAGCAATTCTTGACCCCTCTCCTCCCCCTCCGCTTCCTCGACGTATGAAGGTGAAATAGGACCTGGAGCAATGTAAGAGATACTGAAACCGTGTGAGGATGAGGGTCGCATTGTCCCAATTGGAAAAAAAATATCCGACTCCATGTTCCCTTGCTTACTGCAACTTTTCTCTCAGTGGATGTGTTTTGTAATTTATTCTGTCCATCAAAACTCTTCGAGAAGGTCCCCTTTGATAGTATAGTGAAATACTATATATGGCTCGGCGTTGCGTAGCCCGTCCTAAAGTGAAAGCAGTTGAAAAGGTTACGATTATGAGTCATTTACTGAATTGAGGTGACCTGTAATCACGTTCAACCGCTGCTACTCACTTGTCCTCAACCCTGCACTTCTACCTATCTGCGATAAAATGATTCATCACTGGAATGTGCCGGCAAAGCGCTGCCATGTTATTGATTAATTTGGTTATCAGCAATCGATGGCTTTTTCTGTGAATAACTGCAAGAATAACAAAGAAAATCATCTGTGCTTCTGATCAGTTTTTGAAGAACTGCAGATTTTGTAGTGTTTTGAGGAGCACGCAGTGCTTGCTTTTCAGGTTCTTCACGACTTTGGCACCTTTCAGATGAATTTAGCACTGTCATGACACTAATTCAAGCATAGAGCAGTAATCCTGAATTGCACTACCATCTTCGTTGTAAACTTTGTCGATGCCCTCATTCTACATACCTACCAGATCCATATAACGGCCCTTATATCAGCGAAGGAGGAAATTCCGGGTGATTTTGAGGTGGGAGAGGGAGGGAGTGGAGAAACTGGCCGTATTTTTCAAGACATGTGGAAATGTGATGTGGATTTTCTAGAAGTGTGGAAAACGGAATCCAGAGACCTCTCCCCTCTCTCCCACTTCCTTTCCCAGCTCGAATAGTTTGTGGGATTCGAGGACGCACTTGGTGGAAACGGAATCAAGAGTGATAAATAGCTGATTCAACGACACGTGCGCTACCATAATCAAAGGGTATCAAGTCAGAAGGGATCATAAATCTGAAATAGGCATGAACCACGCTCAACGTTTAGTTCGCGCCACTATCTCCTACTGGGGAGGGTGTTACTAGACGGGAGGATTAAATCGCTTAAGGTGGAGTCAGACTCGGCGATTGTGCAGACGCGTGTAGAGCGCCTCGTTATTGATTCTTATACTTTGCACGGAGTACACCTACTCCACTCGCGATGCTACAATCGCCGGGTTTGACACTTGAAGAAATTAAGTCCATCGGCAGGTGATTGGCTGTCTTCAGAGTTACGTTCGATCCTTTCAATATAACAATAATAGCAACCATGAAGGCAGGAGGGTAGCCTGCCGAAAGGTGGGTGCAACTCCCAGTGCACTTGTGTACATA